TCTGTTCCTCGCCATACAGCGTATCTCTAGAGCTCTTTGAGCGCTCCGAACGCCGATGACTCTCATAACCTTCTCTACGACTACGTCGGTCTCTGTCTGTCTTCTCAGGCCTGTCTGCCCTCTCAGGTCTGTCTGCCCTCTCAGGTCTGTCTGCCCTCTCAGGCCTGTCTGTCCTCTCAGGCCTGTCTGCCCTCTCAGTCCTGTCAGTCCTCTCAGCCCTATCTCTATCCCTTTCCCCTCTCTCTCCTCTTTCTCTTTCCTTCTCTTTAGGACTACGACTTCGTCTGCGTTTCTCATCCCTTCGCTCGCGATCTCTCTCTTTGCTTCGACTCCTCCTCTTCTCGGGTCTCTCCCCTCTATCTCTAGAATGACGGCGCGATTCCTTCTCATAGCGATCCCTTTAACACACATTTAACAATAAGTTAGACTCAAAACATTGACATAAAACGCTGCAAACAAACCGTTCTTCACTCCTTCCGTCATCCCGTCCCGAATGCCTTACATTCTCATCGGGCGCTCCCTTACGAGTGCCGCCCAGACCGCCGCCTAATTCATGAGAAAAACATATAAAATATGTCAGAAAAACAAACAACAATACAATATGTAATGCAATCAAACAGACCGAGTCTGCGGGGGAGCCAACCCTTGACAGTGCGACCCCTCTCGACATCGACCAAAACCCTGCGGCCGTCAATCTTCTTGCCGTCTCCGTGTTTATAGGCAGCTGTCATACAGAAGTCAGAACTGATAAAATCAATACTTACCAAACGCTACGCATACCTACCTATCTATTAATACTCACCACTATTTATATTTACTTTAATAACTAATCACTATCTATTTATCTACAGTATTGCTAATCATTTTCTCAATGTATTTATATTGAGTACTATAACAGCAAAGCATTTCATGATTAACTGATTTTTGATTGCATGAAAAGTGTATAAAATAGTATCGCAATAATTACTGTATATATCAAATACGATATATTTTCATATTTTCGCTATATTATTATTATTACCTATTAAAGTGTAATAACTTCTATTTTCGCACAATTCTGAGCAACTTTGAAATATGTTAATACTATCGGTAATAATGTTCCTGACAAATTTAACAATCTATAGCTAATGTCTATAAAATAAAAATGACACAAATGATCGCATGCCATCATCACTACATTATTGTATGAGAGATCATGTTTTATAACTGAACTGACTGTAAGCTAAGTGTTAGACTGAATGACAATTGTAATACTCATGTGATAGAATCTATGGTTAATAACGGCTTACAGAGTATGTGTAATGACCAGAGCCTTACCGAAACACAAGTAATACCTACTGATAACTTACACATCGCATACAAACCCTGTATTATTGTCTTAACTACGGATCTATTGAATGGCGGACCAAAAAGTTGGGCCAAATAAAGCTGCATAAGAGATGAGGTACAGGTATAGGATAAGTGAGCCCTTCATAAAGAATTGTTATCACATAATATTATCATTGAATATAATGTATTAAATTTGGGTAAATATTCTCACTTAATATTTACACGTTTAACACCTATTATACTCTCTATACTCCCATAACTTATCCATTATTTAACATCATTTCTCCTCTTATTAGTCGCCAAATATTGGCCGACTTTAAGGTTTGGGTGAAAAGTGAACGACACTTACCGATGAAGAAAGTGCTTCAAATCGGTTTCGCTTTACAGCTAACTCTTAGTCATTAATATTACCGTAAATTTGCGCCAAAATTACCTCAAAATTCATTGCTTTCAGAGCAGAACTCGCGCTCAAAACACAATTAAAACTATAATTGAATTAAATGAGACTTACAGTGCATTTCTCTCTCGTGTTCAAACTCTATGAACGCATAACCACGAGGTTTGCCGCTAACCTTGTCGTTACATAAGCCGATCTGTTGGACACAAACATAGCATACCATCAGTCCATCAGTACATATGCCATACAGTAGGACACCATCGACGGAGACATACCTTCTTAATGGGTCCGTAAGCCTCGAACTCACGCCTCAGTTTGGCTTCAGTGGTGTCGTAATTGATTCGTGCGATGAATAGTGTCTTATAGGGATCAGTGGTCGCTGTGGTGGATGAAGCAGGGTCCCCTACAATCACAAACACATACATCACTCATACGGCACCACATCATCACCGGTATGTCATACAAAGAGCGATTCCCTGCTCCAGCTTATAGGCCGCCTGTTCCGCCCGTTCCCGACGCTTCCGCTCAATCCGCTCCTCACGAGTCTCCAGCCGGACGGGCAGTGGTGTGTCCTTCGGGTCCTATTGGGTGACAACAGTGTAAGCAGTGGTCACGAGTGGTGGCACACGAAGACTCATACCTCGAAGTTCTGCAGAAAGGGTCCGACGCCTGAATATCCGCGAGTCTTCTTCTCGTGCGGTAACTTCTGCGCCGGCGGTAGGAAAGGGATGGGCTCTCGAGGCGCGAAGAGGGCTAAGAGGTTTGGCGGTAAGTATTGTGTCATAACGTGAATG